CCGTTTCGTCTGGGCGATGATCTGTCAGTCAGTCACTCACTCACTTAACACTAAGTTCTTTTATATATTAAGATATATATATTTACACGCATCATTCTAGACTTAATTCACTACACTGCACAAATATCGGGCAAATCGAAAGATAAATAGGGACTTTGGATGGTACCCCAATGTCTTTCGATAAAAAGGGACTTTAAATCGGACGAAAATATATATGGGAGCTATACATAAATCTGAACTGATTTTTCCCAATTTCAATAGAGTTCGCCCTTCGGTCAAGTAAATGAGCAGTGCCTTTGTTTACAATTTAACATGGACAGACTGACGGAGAAATAAATCGACTCAGAAAGTGATTCAATGCATATTCTCAAAAGGAACCATAAGTCCATCTCGTTTCCTTTTGCCTATAGCAAACATATGCACAAGTACATAATACCTTGTAGAATTTTATTTGGTCAAGATGCAAAAAATCCTCAAAATAACGAATATTTGGAGGCGCCGTAATATGGGGCTAGGTTAGGATATATCCCATTTTCATATACCAAACATCCTAGGAGTAATAACAAGGTTTGAACAAAATTTCAAGGTCTACATAAAATATTCTGGACTCTATCAACAGACGGATATGCATAAATATACATAGAATTTTATTGTGATCAAGAATAAATAAAACCGTCAATATTTCGAACTTTTGCAAACGGAATGCCAAATTTAATATACACTCCATGTTATGGTGGAGGGTATACATGTGATAGCGAATATCTCAAAATGCCTCCACCATAAATGCTCTTCATCTGCCTATGTTTAAAGTTAAAGCCTCTTCACGAGATTTGTGTTTTTTTTTCGCATTTTGCTGTAAGTCTTAACATTGACCCTTTTTTATTGAATGCAAATAAATCAATATTTTTTTTTGTTTTAAAATATTTGAATTTTGAATAGCATTATCATTGGCAACAACAACTAACGTTATAAAAATGGGTTAATAAACTCACAATCGTTTTATTAATTATTATATTAATATATGCATGTCTCAGATCTTCAGTCCCATTCATTGGAAATGAGTTGTCTGTCTATCCACAAAAAAAAAAAAAAAAAAAAACGAAATAATATTTTGACTTGGTGATTGTGGGTTTTCAACCCTATACAAATGGTTTGTAGTTCAACAAAATTTGACATTTTTATTGGAAATTAATCGCTGTTATTATTGTGAGGTATGTATGTTTCGTATTTTTTGTATCGAATGTATTTTTTTTTAATTTTCAAAAATATTTATGTTTTTGTTGTTTGATATATTTTAAAGTCAAAATCTGTAAAAAGAGATGACAATATAAAGTGGTAAATTTTAATATGAATAATAAAAATATGATTTATTAACATTAGGCTTACCGCTTTATTAAACAAATAAAGCCTACGTATTGAGTATTTAACAACCTTGTCGATTCTATAGCTCTGCTCTTACAATGATCTCAATAAAATTGTTGTGAACCTAAATATCTTTATAAAAATGGGTAGGAAGATCTGTATGTTTAGAAGACTGATGAAATATAATGAGTCAAATTACTGTTTGGATAGCTGTCTCATCACTTTGTGTGGATATCTCTTGGCGTACTATTTATGATCGATGTCTATATTCAATTAATAATACTAAACTACTAAATATCAGTAATTGAATCATTGATTTAGCATTTTCTTCATTCGTACACCATGTATTGTTAGAGATGGGCAGTGGGTAAATACCCAAAGGGTAAATACCCGGTAAATTGGGTAAATACCCGGTAAATTGGGTAAATACCCATTTGTGGGTATTTATTTGGGTATTTACTATATTGAATCGGTAATACAACATCTTGCACCCTATTTCCGGGTTTCTGTTATCAAATCGATTTAGAATGAATAGTTTTACGATACTTTAAAGACGTGGGTAAAAACATGGGTAAATACCCGAGTTTTTACCCAAAAATTGGGTATAAACTCATTAACTGCCGAACCACTTGACATAGGCGGCCAAAATTTTGCACACATGTTTCTAATAACAAAGCAAATATAGAAATCCAACATGGGGTCCCTGGGTCCAAGTTTTGATATTGCCCCTATATAACCGTATCTCCCGATTTAAGGTATTTTTTGCCTATTAGACATATTTTACAACCAAATTGGCTGTAATTTGGCACAGAGTGTTCTTTTTGGGTACCAAATGTCCATGCAAAATTTTATGTATATAGGTCCACGTTTACTGGTAGCCCCCATACAAAGGTACCCCTATTTTGAGTATTTACCCAAAAATTGGGTAAATACAAATTTACCCAAAAATATATAAATATATATTTGCTTTGTCATTAGAAACATGTGTGCAAAATTTTGGCAGCCTATGTCAAGTGGTTCGGCAGTTAGTGAGTTTATACCCAATTTTTGGGTAAATACTCAAAATAGGGGTACCTTTGTATGGGGGCTACCAGTAAACGTGGACCTATATACATAAAATTTTGCATGGACATTTGGTACCCAAAAAGAACATTCTGTGCCAAATTACAGCCAATTTGGCCTCAAAATGTGTCTAATAGGCTAAAAATACCTTAAATCGGGAGATACGGTTATATGGGGGCTATATCAAAACTTGGACCCAGGGACCCCATGTTGGATTTCTATATTTGCTTTGTCATTAGAAACATGTGTGCAAAATTTTGGCCGCCTATGTCAAGTGGTTCGGCAGTTAGTGAGTTTATACCCAATTTTTGGGTAAATACTCAAAATAGGGGTACCTTTGTATGGGGGCTACCAGTAAACGTGGACCTACATACATAAAATTTTGCATGGACATTTGGTACCCAAAAAGAACATTCTGTGCCAAATTACAGCCAATTTGGTTGTAAAATGTGTCTAATAGGCAAAAAATACATTAAATCGGGAGATACGGTTATATGGGGGCTATATCAAAACTTGGACCCAGGGACCCCATGTTGGATTTCTATATTTGCTTTGTCATTAGAACCATGTGTGCAAAATTTTGGCCGCTTATGTCAAGTGGTTCGGCAGTTAGTGAGTTTATACCCAATTTTTGGGTAAATACTCAAAATAGGGGTACCTTTGTATGGGGGCTACCAGTAAACGTGGACCTATATACATAAAATTTTGCATGGACATTTGGTACCCAAAAAGAACACTCTGTGCCAAATTACAGCCAATTTGGCCTCAAAATGTGTCTAATAGGCTAAAAATACCTTAAATCGGGAGATACGGTTATATGGGGGCTATATCAAAACTTGGACCCAGGGACCCCATGTTGGATTTCTATATTTGCTTTGTCATTAGAAACATGTGTGCAAAATTTTGGCCGCCTATGTCAAGTGGTTCGGCAGTTAGTGAGTTTATACCCAATTTTTGGATAAATACTCAAAATAGGGGTACCTTTGTATGGGGGCTACCAGTAAACGTGGACCTATATACATAAAATTTTGCATGGACATTTGGTACCCAAAAAGAACACTCTGTGCCAAATTACAGCCAATTTGGTTGTAAAATGTGTCTAATAGGCAAAAAATACCTTAAATCGGGAGATACGGTTATATAGGGGCTATATCAAAACTTGGACCCTGGGACCCCATGTTGGATTTCTATATTTGCTTTGTTATTAGAAACATGTGTGCAAAATTTTGGCCGCCTATGTCAAGTGGTTCGGCAGTTAATGAGTTTATACCCAATTTTTGGGTAAAAACTCGGGTATTTACCCATGTTTTTACCCACGTCTTTAAAGTATCGTAAAACTATTCATTCTAAATCGATTTGATAACAGAAACCCGGAAATAGGGTGCAAGATGTTGTATTACCGATTCAATATAGTAAATACCCAAATAAATACCCACAAATGGGTATTTACCCAATTTACCGGGTATTTACCCTTTGGGTATTTACCCACTGCCCATCTCTAGTCACAAGCTTTTAATCTTCGAACTCCCCCTATACATCTCGATTTGTTCACGTTCGCGTTTTTTGTTTGTTTTTTTATTATTTTTACTTTTCTCCCGTTAATTATCCCTTACATTACGTGTTGCTCCTGTCTACAGGGTTGACCTATTTCTTGGTAGTCAAATGTTCCTTTTGCTGCAGTTTGTAGGGAGTGGGCAATTCTTTGCCATTGCGCTTGTATATTATTATCGCGACAAGAAGTGTTTTTGTCAATCAGGTGGGTAAGTTGTGCGGAATAGGCTTGTGATAGCTGTTGTGTTTGCAGCTTTTCGACGTCGAGTTTTCTTTGCTGCTGTATAAAGACGATTGCGAACCTTGGCTGCTACAAAGTAATGGTCCGAATCGATATTCGTTCCACGGATCGAGCGAACGTCTAAAACACTGGATGAATGACTTCCGTTTATCACAATATAGAAAATAGGATAAATACTGAATATGTTTCGGTAAAGCTATACTAATACGAATACTACTAGATATTTGTTTCAAGTTCATTCGGATAGATCCCTGATTCTTCATCTATAACGATCTTCTGAAACACCACCATATTTGTATACCTTCCTCCGTATTTAAAATGATATATACCATTTTAAATACCGAACATCCTATGAATAGTAGAAATGAATGTGCAGAATTTCAAAGCTATATCATACATATTGAGAGCTCTGCCTTTTCAACAGGCGGACATTGCAAAATGGAAATAGAATTTTATTCTGAGATAGAATATCGTACTTTTTGGGGTCATTGGTATATCCTCCATATTGGGTATATTGGGAAAATTGAAGTCGAGTAGTTGTGTAGGGTGGACTAGACTGCTCCGTCTACTGCTTGATTTTCAGAACTTATTACAATAATCATCAATAAAAGTCCTACGTTGTATCTTAGAAATCTAATGGATGTCATCTACAAGCTATTTATATGATGGGAAAACTAGTTAAATCTCTTGTGCAGAAATAAGAAAAATGTAGAAAACCCTTTACAATACGACATTTGTGAGGATTTATAATGATTTTTTTTATTTATTTACATCAATTGACACATTATGCACGCCGTTCAAAGTCCAGCCACACTCCTCCCGCATGTAGTGCTAGAAAATTTGTCGGATCTAATTTAAATTCTTTACGAGTTTTCGCATTTAATTTAATGTGAAAAGTTTTAACCAATGACGATATAGCTGCCTTACACTGGACCAAAGCAAAACGCATACCTACAAAAGTATAATGGAAATATTACAAACAATAGATATTCGAAATTGTCTGCTTCTTACCCGAACATGTACGTGGTCCATCACCAAAACCCAGAAATACACCATGATCTCGATAATGTTTTACATCACATTCACCATTTTCATTTAGAAATCGTTCCGGTTTAAATTTATGCGGTTCGTCATAATATTCCTTGTCATGATGAAGGGCATAAATGGGGATTATGAGAGAATCACCTTTCTCAAGACAGAGAATACTGCCATCCTTATTTCGAAATTGATAGGGTCGTGTACAACATTTTGTTGACCATAAGCCGGGTGGATAGATCCGCAGGGATTCTGAAAAATTGTGAAAACATGTTATTTTGAGGTCCATTAATATTTGTAAGGGGTGCACATATCCACAATTTGCCGATTCTGGCGATTAACATACAAAAGCTGTTTTTTTGAGGGGTTAGTGGTTACTTACCATGAATACAAGCCTCTAAGTAAGGCATTTCATTCAGTTTCGCAAATGTGATTTCTCCATTATTATCTGCAGATCGACATACTTCTTGAAATAATATATCCTGGCATTTCGGTTCCAATGCTAGCTGAAATTTAGAAAATACTTAGATTTTTGTATAAAATTTTTGTAAACAAGTTGGGATGTTATATTGAAGATAGAACTTTCCAATTTTCCACACCCTACTACTACTCTTAGGATGTTTTTTTTATTTTTATTGGGATATATCGATTGTTGTTGTTGTAGCAGGCCTATTGCTTTTACATAATGGGTTGAGGTGACAGACGTTGGCCGAGTAAGACTCGGGTCGTTTCAGATCGTAGACCCCCCCTGTCGTGGTAGCGGGGATTTATCAGTCCAACTTTTTGGTATAGCCCGATAGAACGGTACTGCTCCATTTAAGATATTTTGAAGGATTTAGCCACATTTTTTAACGGAAATTACTTTAATTTGGCAACCTGAGATTTTTTTGAAAGCGACAAACATCATTGTAGAATATTGTAAAAATAAGCCCAAGTTTTGATATAGACCCCATATAAAGATCCCGACCAATTCACCGAAGTGGCTGTAATTTTGCATTCGGGTTCTGTGGAGGGTGAACAGATATTTTTATAAAATTTTCAATTTAGAACCACATCAATTTAGAATCCCCATATAAAGGTTCTGACACATGTTTTGTATTTGGAACATTAAAGCCTTCAAAATACAAAAACTGTATCCGTATAAAGATCCCGCCCTATTTCATGTATTTTCATTGTTATAGACGCATTATCCATCCAAAGTGGCTGTAATTTCTCATTACGGGTTCTTAGTGTGTAAAAACCCTCTTTGCAGGAAAATGCTAATATGGGTCCATGTTTTGGCGTAACCTCCATATAAAAGGCCAGTCTGTTTTTCGGTGTTTTGTAGGTTTTATCCGCATTTTCCAGTCGATATTGCAGTAATTTGACACTGCGGCATACTTCTTGAAATAATATATCCTGGCATTTCGGTTCCAATGCTAGCTGAAATTTAGAAAATACTTAGATTTTTGTATAAAATTTTTGTAAACAAGTTGGGATGTTATATTGAAGATAGAACTTTCCAATTTTCCACACCCTACTACTACTCCTAGGATGTTTTTTTATTTTTATTGGGATATATCGATTGTTGTTGTTGTAGCAGGCCTATTGTTTTTACATAATGGGCTGAGGTGACAGACGTTGGCCGAGTAAGACTCGGGTCGTTTCAGATCGTAGACCCCCCCTGTCGTGGTAGCGGGGATTTATCAGTCCAACTTTTTGGTATAGCCCGATAGAACGGTACTGCTCCATTTAAGATATTTTGAAGGATTTAGCCACATTTTTTAACGGAAATTACTTTAATTTGGCAACCTGAGATTTTTTTGAAAGCGACAAACATCATTGTAGAATATTGTAAAAATAAGCCTAAGTTTTGATATAGACCCCATATAAAGATCCCGACCAATTCACCGAAGTGGATTCGGGTTCTGTGGAGGGTGAACAGATATTTTTATAAAATTTTCAATGTAGAACCACATTTTGACACAGTCCCCATATAAAGGTTCTGACACATGTTTTGTATTTGGAACATTAAAGCCTTCAAAATACAAAAACTACTACTGAAGTGGCTGTAATTTGGCAACGTTTTGGTCTGTATTCGTATAAAGGTCCCGCCCTATTTCATGTATTTTCATTGTTATAGACGCATTATCCATCCAAAGTGGCTGTAATTTCTCATTACGGGTTCTTAGTGTGTAAAAACCCTCTTTGCAGGAAAATGCTAATATGTGTCCATGTTTTGGCGTAACCTCCATATAAAGGTCCCGTCTCTTTTTTGGTGTTTTGTAGATTTTATCCGCATTTTCCAGTCGATATTGCAGTAATTTGTCACTGCGTATTTTGACATAGTTTCCATATAAAGGTTCCGGCCCATTTTTGGTGTTTTGAAGGTTTTAACCCCAAAAGGAAACGAGATAGACCCATGGTTCCATTTGAGAATATGTATAGATTCACTTTCTGAGTCGATTTATGCATGTCTGTCCATCCGTCTGTCCATGTTAAATTGTCAACAAAGTGCAGGTTGCATTTATTATCCGAATGAGATGAAATTTGGCGCAGATCATTTTTTTTTGGCCCAGGGGCAAACCCTATTGAAATTGGGAAAAATCGATTCAGATTTAGATATAGCTCCCATATATATTTTCGTCCGATTTTTAGCAAATGGTGTACCAAATTAGCAAATCGTGCACAACGTACCAAAGTTGGGATAGACTAACGTGTGCCAACTTTTATTGAAATCGGTTCAGATTTTCGTCCAATTTTTAGCAACTGGTGAGTCAAATTTAGGCCGATTGGCATGTAATTTTGTACAACGCACCGAAGTTAGGATAGAATAACGTGTGCCAACTTTTATTGAAATCCGTTCAGATTTAGATACAGCTTTCATATATATGGTCGTCCGATTTTTCGGTGCACCAAAGATTTAAAGTGTGTCCGATTGGCTCAACATTACGCGCAACGTATCGAAATGGGTCTGGTTTAACCGTTATATGGCTACTACCCGAAAAAGTGCACCGATATTATTAATTTTTAGTGGAGACATTTGGTACGTGGTCCGATAAAGCTCATCTTCGGACCTGCAGATAAGATAACTTTATGCAAACGTTTAGCGATTTATCTCAATTCGTTTAGACGCTAGAGTGATTACAACAGAAAGACGGACCTGCATAAATCTTCATTTTACGCTGATCAAGAAAATATATATCTATATATATAAAATAGAAAAAAATTAGTTTGTTTGTATGTTACCGATAGACGCCAAAACCGTTGAACAGATCTTAATGAGATTTACACTGTATGTCGGGGCATGCCCTGAAAGTAACATAGGCTATATAAACTTTTAAAATTCCGCGTAGATGCGGAGTTATTGCATCAATAGTAAACATACCTCAAAATTTCTGAACATGTAATATGCGTTTATCTTAAGAACGGTTACAGATAACGCCTTCAAAATTTATCTGTATATCGTAGGTGTGAATACACATTATTCATAAAAATATGAACGAGATAATATCGGTGGAAATGCACTCTCCGTTACACTTAAATAATCTACATGTAGAAAATAAAAAATGTTTTGTTTCTAGACTCAAAAACCGTTGAACAGATTTTACTGAGATTTTTACCGCACATCATATCATCCGAGGGAAACAATATAAGCTATATAAACTTCCAAAATTTCGCGTGGATGTGGAGTTATCGCATCGAAAGTAATAATACATCTGAACTAATATTCATTTTCTAAGCTTATATCTTAAGAAGGGTTAAAGATTCCCACTTCAAAATTTGTCTGAGTAACATGGTAGCAAATATGCATCATTCCTATAAAAATTGGCGTGGTACAATAGGGGAAAATGTACTCCTCACTGCATTTAATTAATTTAAATGTAGAAAATGGAAATTCTTTTGGTTGTTGACACAAAAACCGCTAAATAGATTTTACTGAAATTTTCACAGTAAGTCATGCCAAGAAAAACTTCGATAATTCCACGATGACGATAAATTATAGCATCAATAGTAATCATACCTCTGAATAATATTCATTTTCTATGCATATATTTGAATATCTTAAATAAATCGGCTCATACAAATTTCAATGACACGCAGATAATTACATACTAATCTTAAGTAATCAGCAATTAACAAAATTGGTCCAAATCGATAATGTTCGACTCAACATTTTTGGTCCTTTTATGTTACTATCAGTTATGATAAAAACCACCAGTTCAATAAATCCGCTAACGTCTGCTGTTTTTCATCTCTCCATTATCTACATATTGCAATAAAATTTGTGTAAAATGAAAATTTTTTGACATTTTAATTTTTACATTTTGTCAATTTGTGAAAAAAAATAAAATTTGGATTTTTAATTTTAAAAATTCAACTGCCATTGAAGAAAAAGGCTATGAATTCAATATGGAAGATATCCAGAGAGAAATACTGATTGTGGAATAAAAGTTATAAAAGTCCGAAATCTGTGGTGGCTTATCATTACAGCTGATATATTTCGAGGATCGATATAGTTCGAGGATCATGGTTTCTTAAGAATAACAATACTATATCTAGGTTCGGTAAAAATATTATGATGTGGTAATGCATTATTGTGAATTTTTTGGCAATGAAACAATTAAAACCAGCAAGGAAAGTAATCAAGTCGGACTGGGCCGACTATATGATACCCCTCACCACTTTGGGTATATTCTACATTTGTATCCGAAAAATCCGAAAAGACGTCGCTTTTTGAAGGAATTTTGACATGAAATTGAACGAACTTAAGTATGTGATTTTTATGTCTTTCTGGAACCTATGATAAATTTCATTTCATTTGGGCAAGTTTATAGTCGTTTGCGCACAGTGGGGCAGATTTGTGTAAATCGATTTAAAGCAAACTTGACACACGCTATTCGGTATGCAGCACTGTTTAAAATTTAATCTCACAATTTATTTAAAATCGGACGAAAATATATATAGGAGGTGTACACATCATTCTAGACTTAATTGAACACGCTATGCCAAAATTCGTGCCAATCAAAAGATTAGCAGGGACTTTGGTGCTCGATTACCTAAAATCGGGCGAAACTATATATGGAAACTATATCTAAATCTGAACAGATTTTCACGAAACTTAATACACACTATTCTAGACTCAATTCAGTACGCTATACCAAATATCGTGCAAGATATATGGGGACATTTGTAGACCATTTACCTAAAATCGGGCGAAACTACATATGAAGATTTTTAGTGGTCTTGGAACGAATAGTGAGAAACATGTACATATTGGAGAAAATGTATTTGTGTATGGTACTATTACAACTAATTAGAAAAGTCAAGCTAAATTTGTTTTTAATGCTACCGCCGTTATTCAAAGATTATTTAAAAATGTATTTGTAATCTATTGAATAGAATCAAATATAATAATACATAGACCGAAATTATTACTGATATTACACTACGAAATACCTACAAATAGTTTTCGACGTTAACTATCCTATATTAATAACTTTAGTATGGGCAGCGAAGCGCCACGGGTTCAGCTATACTTTATACAAATATACCCGGTTATATATCGTTGAGTTAAGTGGGTTCATATAGATACAGATCATATATTTAACTTAGTCGAATTTCATATCAATGGACCATTCAAAAATTCAAGGTCTGTAAGGATGTATTTCTTGAATATAGCCAAAAAAGAAAAGGATATCATATAGTCGGCCCCGTCCGACTTTACTACTTTCCTTACTGGTTTTTTGTTTTGATTTCTATTTTAAAGGTTTTTCATTTCGGACTCTTAGGTATTTTTATGGCTTTATTTTTCAGACATTTTAGGTTTTCATCACGTTTTGGACAATGCTTAATATTAGCCAATATGTTGGCATAAAAAAAAAAACTCCCACCTGATATTCGGAATGTTTCAATAAATTTAACAAATACCCAGGTGATGTGTAATCATCATTTTCTCAGAGGATAAAATACTTTCTCATATTCCCTTTATATCGACAAAGTACCCATATAAATGTCCCTACCGATTTTAACCTTTTCAAATACTCACTCATGATGGAGGTTTTTACATCCCGCAATTTCAAACTAAATTATAATTTTCACCACTCACCATCAATAAACAGTGCGAAATTACAGTTGCCGTTGTATCCAAACCATCGATTAAAAATGTCATTGTGTGCGAATATAAATCCACATCCTTGAGTTTTTGTAATTCTTGAATTTTCATTAAATATTCCAAAATATCCGTTGCACCATTTGATTCCGCTTTGCGTAACTTATATGCACGTTCCATTAGATTTATAAAAAATCGTTCACAATCTTTTGGAAAAAATTTCATTTTATAAATACGCAAAATAATTGGCATTAGACCGGTCAGTAGGGTAAATATGGTAAATGCTATATTTTCGCTGGCAAATTTATTAACATTTTCGGAAATCGGTAGTGGATGATCTGTAAAACTATTGGCTTTTATACCCAAAACACAGCTACTTAAACTTTCGGCTGTGAATCGCAATGCCAGCTGTAAATGAAATGATGAATACGTGGAATATTTTTTCTGAAATGTAAATACCTCTTTTCCATTGATTTCCTGAAAACCTTTTTGGCCAATAAATTTTGCCATTTGTTGACAAATATCAGACATGTCGTGATAGGATTGTTTAAGTCGAGAACTGGTCATAGCTGGAGTTATTAACGAGCGCTGTAATTGCCATTCATCGCCGATTAATATGAAGGGATTTTTTGATATCAGCGGATCCTTTGCTGTATCGATCTGTAAATAAGTAAATCAACTTTTTAAAGCATAAACAATTGAGAAGGCGGGTCGGATTTGTATCCTGTTCTATAAATACCACTTTTTCTGCTACACAAATATTGGGATTTGAGAAATACCTGACAATTTTCTATTATCTAAACAAATAAATAAAACACATTTGATGTAAGAAAATCATTAACACTACTAAATTTATGTTGACCCTTGTGGGAGAGGGTTTAATAATTAATACAGTAAAATAATGGGATGATTATATAATAATACTAAAAATTGGACTAATATTGATAGCTTTGTTAGACAGTCCAATGAGGTCCCAAAATATAAAATTTCAGCCTATTGGGTTGCAAAACGTGTCAAAATATTAACGGGGTACCTTATTTGGGAACTATACCATATTCAATAAAAACACCAAGTGCAAAAAAGCGTTAAGTTCGCCCGGGCCGAACTTTGGATACCCCCACCATAGGAATAATGACAGATACTTGAAATGAAAACATATTCAACATACCAAAAAATTGCAGACATTTTAATCGGGTTTTCCTAAAATCTCAAAACTATTATAAAAGCATGCTAGGGTGAAACATGTGTATAAAATCCTCAAAATACTGCAATTTAGAGGACAAGAAAAAACAAACGCGCTCAAAACCCTCATTACATATTTAGTATAATAATTCGTTAAGAATTATGTCTGTTAAAAAATGTTTCAAAATTCATCTTCTCGAAAAAAAACAATTAAGGAAAGTAGTAAAGTCGGACGGGCCCGACTATAGGATACCCTTTACCACTTCGGCTATATTCAAGATATACATCCTAACAGACCTCGGATTTTTGAAGAACCATTGACATGAAATTTGACTTAATTAAAAATCTGTGTCTATATGTTTGCCCTACGATCAATCACCGGGTATATTTGTACCATTTTATACCCTCCACTATAGTATGGAGGGTATGGAGGCCTATAAACATATATACCCAATAAACATATATATATATATATATATATATATATATATTTACAAAACATATCTATGAGAGCTATATCTAAATCTAAACAGATTTCAATAAAACTTGGCACACGTTAGGCGATCCTAACTGCATTATGTTATGCCAATTGGCCTAAAATTGACTCTTTGGTGCACCATATGCTAAAAATCGGACGAAAGTATATGTGGGAGCTAACTGTAAATCTGAACCGATTTTCAAAGGGTATAAAAACTTTATAAAATGTTTGGCTTATTAAAAAAAAAAATTCACGCCTTATTGCTTCTCGAAATTAATCTAAAAAAATCCACACCTTTTGGTTTTCACCCTCCAAGATCGTGGAATGTTAAATTACAGACCATCTACAGAACGCCTACAGCATAAAAACACGAAAATGGTGTAGGAACTTTTATGGGGGTTATAAATTGACCTTTATCGAAAATTGTCTCAAAAAGGCTTTTACCTATCAATAGCTTCGGCATTCTGAAGTTTATTGACGTTTTCAAAGAAATTCCCAGCTCTGGCTATTAAATAAAAAAAATTGTTTTGTAATCGCGATAGAGCTCGCAATAGTCAAAATAGAGTATAGAATTTGAAAGAAGTTTGGTTTGACGTTTTGATATATTGGTTGGAGAAAATGAAATCCATTATTTTTATATGAACTAAAGGACTTCATTTAACATGCTTCGGAATGTCCGATTTGGGTCAAATATGCACCGTTTTATGGTATGATTTGTTGTCATTTTAAAGGTAACTTCATAATGCCTCTCTCATAAACGTCCTGATCTCTACTTGCAAAAAACTCTAGTAGTCGATTTTCACAATCCTCCCTAGATACCAATTTTTTATCATTAAAGAAATTTTGCAATGCAAGAAAAATATGATAATCGTTTGGTGCCAAGTCCGGACGGGCGGATGCATTAAAACTTCCCAACCAAGCTCCCGAAGTTTCTGGCGAGTCACTGTAGATGTGTGTGGCCTAGCGTTGTCCTGGTGGAACACGGCACCTCTCCTGTTGGCCGATTCTGACCGTTTCTGGTCAATTGAAAATGATTTAAAACAGTTTTATGGTCGATTTTTAGCTCCTGGACGATGTCTGTTAACATGCCGGTCAACTTCGATCATTTATCCGATTTTATCGACATTTTCGACGACCGGCCTATCTATGCGAGGTGCATCTTTAACATCAAAAATTCCTGAATGGAATCTACGAAAACCAATATTGCACATAATTGGCTGTTACAGTATCGGAACCCTAAACACCATTCACAATTTTAGCCGCATGGCTTGCATTTTCGCCTTTGTCAAAGAAGAACTTTAAAATGTACCGAATTTTCTCTTTGTACACTTCCATTTTTAAAACCCTGTTACTCACAACTGAATGAACCAAATAAAAACAGCAAAATAATTTTTTTTTTTTACTGCGAAATGTCACCTTTCCATAAATCTGAAATTTTTTGTTAGATACTTTACGAGAAATCTATCAGTACAGCCGTCTGACGAAAAAATAATGGATTTCTTGTGCATATGTTTGTAACAGGCAAAAGTAATCGAGATATACCCATGGTTCCATTTGAGAATATGCATAGAATCACTTTCTGAGTTGATTTATGCATGTCCGTCCGTCTATGTGCTTTTGAGCTCCGATTTGGATGAAAGTTGGCACATGTCACTTATTTGGCCCAAAGACGAACCCTATTGAAATTGGAGAAAATCCGTTCATATTTAGATATAGCTCCTATATACAGTTTCGTCCGATTTTTTGTGCACCAAACTCCAGATATTGATCCGATTGAGACAAAATTTTGCAAAAAGTATTGAAATAGGTCTAGATTGATATACCCCAAGTTTTGTTAAAATCGGTTCAGATTTAGATATATAGTTTCATCCGATTTTATGTAAATGGAGCACCACACTGCCAATATTGGTCCGATTGAGACAGAGTTTTGCACAGCATACTGAATTGGATCCAGATTGATGTATGCAAAGTTTTGTTGAAATCGCTTCAGATTTAGATATAGTTCCCATATATAGTTTCGTCCGATTTTATGTAAATTGAGCACCAGAGAGTCAAATTTAAAAGCGATTGGCATACAATTTTGCACAGCGTACTGGATTAGGTCCAGATTGATGTGCATGAAGTCATGTTGAAATTGGTTCTGATTTAGATATAGCTCTCATATATAGTTTCGTCCGATTTTTTGAAAATGGTGCACCAAACTCCCAATATTTGTACGATTGTGACAAAATTTTGCACAGAGTACTGAATTAAGTCTAGATTGATACATTGATACAAACACCGAATATTTGTGCAATTAAGACAAAATTTAGCACAGAGCACTGAATTAGGTCCTGATTGATGTGTGCGAAGTTGTGTTGGAATCGGTTTAGATGTAGATATAGCGCTCATATAAAGTTTTTATGTAAATGAAGCCCCGTAGGTCAATGTTTTCAGATTAACCCTACGGTCAATAACAAAAAAAGTATACGTAGATCCATAACCGTGGTAAATTTGTATCCATCCAAAGATAGCTCTGTAACTGATTAAAAAATTGGACTATCATAAGGTTTTTTTGTTTGAAATTGGTCTATACGGATCTGATCTAGATGTAGGAACTCAAAATTATATATACATTAAAATAATATATATTTAAATCCTTGCTTAAATGATAATCTATCTAAAACAATCATAGTAAATTCCTTATAGCTTTCGAATGTGTTAAGATTTTTTGTTGGGATCTTATTTAGGTGTTCCTCAACTCCTCTGCAAATTTTTATGGCCCTAGACAACACGGGGCCATCAGGGCGACTCGTGGAAATCAGAAACTAATTTTGAGTTCCTATATCTAGATCAGATCCGTATAGACTAATTTAAAATAAAAACCTCACGATAGTCCAATTTTTTAATGAGATAGCTCTGTATCTTTGGATGGGTACAAATGTACCTCGGTTATTGATCTACGTAGGTAATAACTTAAAAAAATTGTAAAAATTATATATGTTGAAAATATTTATAATTTTTTCTTCGATTATGTGTGAAAATACCTCAAGAATGATTCCGCTAAAATTTGATCCAAATATCTCCATTATTAAAAATTTTACAGCATTTTTATTAAAAAGGTACAAATGTACCCGGTTATTGACCGTAAGGTTAAGACAACATTTTGCATACCGTATTGAAGTTACTAAGGTTGACATCCGTTTGTTGAAAAAGGTTGAGATTTAGATATAGTTCCCATATATATTAATTCGTCCGATTCCATTTCAATGGTTCTCCAAAGGTGCTATTTCTATTCTATATAAAGGATATTGTATATATCAGCATCTCTTGTATGTTCCCATAGTGGTGAAGAGTATCATATAGTTGGCCCCGTCCGACTTTTGAGCTTTCCTTACTGTTTTTTAAATATAATCTAGTAAATTATACAACTATCTATTCAAATTCATGATCTACATGCAAATAATATATTGCTCAAACTACAGACTTCTCAATTCAAAATAATATTAATATAAATACTTATTGAATTATATTAATAAGTAATATGACTATTTTCTACACAACACGCAAATATTTCATTATATGCTAATAAAAAATTTAATAAAACTATAAATAATAAATAAAATACTTAACCTAGTACAATTTATTACCCACCAACTTGCCGACGTCATTATCATCGAAATGTCTAAATGCCGTTACGAAGATCTCGTGTACAATTTGTGGATCGATGACCAGTAAAGTTGGCGTGCGCAACAAAAAGGTTCCCACATAGTTGTCGGTCATTTTGTAGCATCTAAAATGAGGGAGAAAAAAAGTCAAACGAACATCTCCATTGATTAACATTATGTGGCGCAAAATAAACCATTCAGTTGGGACAAATTGGACATTATTAAATCATTTATTCATTTGATAATTTATCAACATTTATCAGCTGTCACTTAACTTGTAAATGTCATGTAAATCATCACCAAAGTGTTGACGTCGTAGCAACAGGTTGGGATATGAACCGAGAAGAGGGTAAGGTTTCGGACCGTTAACACTTCTCTTCTGCCAATAATCAAAATTCCACGTGAGATAGAAGTAAATAAGAGAACCAAAAATTAATAACGTTATTAAGAGAAAATAAAACATTTTTCAAATCATATAGTTTTTTCCGATCGAAATGTTTCTTTCCGCTAAACCGACTTGGAACAGAGTTTTATAGCAACTAATATTCTCAGTTTCGCATGCTTGGATTCGAATCTAACATCAATTGAAAATGAAAATTTAAATACCCTATATTAGGAAATGGGCGAATAAAAAATGCTGAGTTAAAAATAAATTAAAGGTTAGCGCATCAAATGGATTACAAAAATATTCGCTTATAAAAAATATGCAATGTCAGGTAAAAAAGCTAGAGTCATCCTGAACTAAATTGTTGATACGTTTGCCTATCAATTTTTGTTTAATTTATGGATTTGGTTTAACTTTGTATATATAGCGTACAATGAGTAATCGTTTACTAGTTTCCTCGCAATTGCATGTTTACAAACGTTTACCGCTTGGAACTGTCTAATAAAACAAATATTTGATTTGATAATTTCAATTTTTTAAACTCATCTTTAGTATACGATTTGTTAAGTGCATTTATCGGAAATCCGGTAAATGTTATAAAATGCATGTTATAAAATGAAAAATTGCATGTCAAAGGGGCAGACTTGGATTCTTTGGTGTACAATTTGTATGAAATCGAGTAAAATTATGTATATGAGCTATATATAAACACATGGACCTAATTGAGCAAACGTTGCATACACCATTTGTTTTTTTTTTTTTTGTTATTACTCTATATTCAATTTAATACCATCGGTCAAATTTCGTGTAAATCGAACAAACATAGGCCCTTCGGTGCACCAATTACATAAAATCGAACGAAAATATATATAAGACCCAAATGAAAATCTGAACCGATTTCAACAAACCTTATCACACATTATTTTTCCCTCAATTGCATTCGCTATGCAAAATTTTGATCAATCGGACAAATATTGGGAGTTTGGTGTATCGTTCACAAAAAATAGGACAACACAATATATGAGAGCTATATATAAATCTGAACCGATTTAAAAAAAAAACTTTGCAGTCTTTAGCATGGACCTAATTCAGTACTCTGTGCAAAATTTTGTTCCAATCGGACAAATATTGGGAGTTTGGTATATTATATATGGGAGCTATATCTAAATCTAAACCGATTTTTAAAAAACTTAGCAGACATCAGTCTGGATCTAATTCAGAACCCTGTGCAGAATTTTGTCCCAATCGGACAAATATTGGGAGTTTGGTGCATCATTCATATAAATTCGGACGAAATTATATAGATGGGCGCTATATCTAAATCTGAACCGATTTTAACAAAACTTTGCAGACTTCAGCATGGACCTAATTCAGTATTCTGTGCAAAATTTTGTTCCAATCGGACACATATCGGGAGTTTGGTAATTCAGTACTCGGTGCAAAATTTTGTTCCAATCGGACAAATATCGGGAGTTTGGTATATTATTCGCAACAAAAATCGGAACAAACTATATATGGGAGCTATATCTAAATCTAACCCGATTTAAAAAAAAAAAACTTAGCCGATATCAGTCTGGATCTAATTCAGAACCCTGGGCAGAATTTTGTCCCAATCGGACAAATATTGAGAGTTTGGTGCATCATTCATATAAATTCGAACGAAATTATATAGATGGGAGCGATATCTAAATCTGGACCGATTTTTACAAAACTTTGCAGACTTCAGAATGGACCTAATTCAGTACTCTGTGCAAAACATTGTCCCAATCGGACAAATATTGGGAGTTTGGTGTATCAATCACAAAAAATTCGTATACATAAGTATGAACCTGATTCAGTGCGCTGTGCAAAATATTGTCCCATTTTTCGTCATTTACATAAAATCGGACGAAACTATATAGTGGAGCTATATCTAAATCTGAACAGATTTTCTCCAATTTTAATAGGGTTCCTCCTTGGGCCAAATAAGTGAACTGTGCAGTATTTCAACCAAATCGGATCATAAATGTGACTGTACTTTGTTCACAAAAATACATGGACGGACATGCGTAAAACGACTCAGAAAGTGATTCTATGCATATTCTCGAAAGGAACCATGGGTCAATCTCGATTCCTTTTGCCTATTGGTGCACCATTTACATTAAATCGGATGAAAATATATATGGGAGCTATATCTAAATCTGAACCGATTTTCACGAAACTTAACACACATCATTCTAGACCTAATTCATTACGCTGTGCCAAATTTCGTACAAATCGAAGGATATATAGGGACTATGGTGCACCATTTACATTAAATCGGACGAAAATATATATGGGAGATATATCCAAATCTGAACCGATTTTTCCCAATTTCAATAGGTTTCGTCCTTGGGCCAAATAAAATGCGACCTGTACTTTGTTAACAAAAATACATGGACGGACGGACGGACATGCATATATCGACTTAAAAAGTGATTCTCTCGTTTACTTTTGCCTGTTACAAACATATGCACAAAGACATAATACCCTGTACCACAGTGTGGTGAAGGATATAAAAATAGGGCAGAATTTGTTTTCACGTCGAATGGAACAACACTTTTGTGTGAAAAATTAGAAATTTTGCTATATATTTAATTCGGAAAGACATAGACCGGAGCAGTATTTCTCTTGACTTCATCAGAAACCTTTTATACCCGGCCGAACCACTTATACCATCTACTATGAGGATGACAATCAAAATATTTAAAATAATCTTGGGTCTAATAATTTTTGGTGCGTAGATGTGTTTTTCAATGAGAACCCAAAATACCAATCTACAGCCAATTCGGTGGAAAAACCTGTCCAAAATCCCCCAAAATACCGAATATGGGGCTACCTTGAAACTTGGGTCAATATTAATAATTTTTGGTACGGATATGTTTTATTGAATTAGAACCCAAAAATACTAAATTACAGCCAATTCGGTGGAAAACCCTGTCAAAAATTCCCAAAATATCGATAGGGGGGGGGGGGGGGGTGTACCATTATATGGAGGCTACACCAAAACATGGACCATACATATTATGAGTAGTAGCAATCTCTGTGCAAAATTTCAGAGCTCTGTCTTAAGTATGGCGATCTCCATCGTGATTTCAACAGAGGGACATACCTAAATCGATTCATTTTGGTTGATACATACGGTTAGAACCCTCAAAATACCGAAAAGTGGAAAGGACCTTTATATGGGGTTATGTCAAAAATTCGATTTGTAATAATGTGTTTAAGTGTTTTCCGTTGGAAAATTCTGCTACAAAATTGATATAGTATTTTATTATAATCATGAATATATATTCCTATGGGGTCCCCAACGAACTCGCAATATGAGGCAAACGGAATAACAAATTAAATATACACTTCACCTTATGGTGCAGTGATTTTTAGACTGAGACTTTTTATGTAACCCCTAAAGTATGCATCACATTGTTGTGTGGTTGTGGGCTGTGCTATTCAGCAATAACGGTTGTAACAGAAAATTGTGCTGAAGAAATGTGGATGCTATAGTAGTTTAGTATTCGTGTTTGACGGTAGAGTCGTATTGGTTTAAAATGTTGTTGATAATTATTCTAAGTTAATACTTTGTGGAATAATATTGGGTGCTATAATGTTATTCCCATCACCATCACATCACAGGCAAAAGGAAACGAAATAGACCCAGGGTTAGTTATGACAATATACATCAAAACACTTTCTGAGTCGATTTATGCATGTCCGTTAGGCCGTCCGTCTTTCTGCCCATTTTAAATTGTATACAAAGTTCAGGTCGCATTTATGATCCGAATTGGATGAAATTTGCATATTTGCTTCAATTTATTTAGGAATAGTGCGAAACTTGATCAAAATAGAAAATTTGCTGTATATATCCAAATTAGGGATATTTTTTTACAAATAAATATCCTGTTTACAAAATTCTTTTCTTTTGTAACCAAAAGTGAAATTTCATGTAGAAGAATTTTGACTTTGACGAAATACTCCTAAGATGCAGTCTTATTGAAGATTTTGACACATTTCGGCAGGGTGTTTGACACTTACTGAAGTCAAGAATTTGTTACCAAAATTATTAATTTGATACTGTAAATTTTTGAAAAAATATTGAATTTAAACATATATTTCATTCTTTGAAGCTATGCTCGAAATTAAGTTTTATGTTACTTTTATACAGTTTGCGGAAAAAGTACTGGGCAATTTCTATGCAAAAAATTTCCAATATTTTTGGAATTACCCATAAATACGAATTTCCGAAACTACAACAATCCCACATACCAACAGGGATATTTATTCCAAAAACCAGGAATTCAGCTCTATCCGTTCACACAAAACTAAATTTTCCAACTGTAATTTGTAATTTTAAATCAAAATTTCAGTAATTTTAATTCCCAAATTCTGGAGTCAAGCTCTATCCGTTCACATAATCAAATTGTACCAAATATTGTACCACTCGTTGTCCAAAATAACGAATATTGGGGATTTTGGATACGTTTTCAAATCAAATTGACAGTAATTTGGTATTTTGGGTTCTCGTTGTATAGCACATATCCTCACCAAAAATTATTAATATTGACCGATGTTTCAGTGTAGCCTCCACATAACGACTCTCCAACATTCTGTATTTTGGAGATTTTAGACACATTTTCCAACCGAATTGTCTGCAATTAAGTATTTTGGGTTCCCATTGAATAACACATATCCGTACCAAACACTTTCAATATTGAACCAAGTTTCAGGATAGATCCCTTACACTGGTGGCCAAAACTAAAGCAATTGAAGTTGCAAACAGAATAAATTTCCTGTAACTTTTTTACTTTTTAAAAACAAAAAATATGAACGCAAAATTTATTTTGAAATAAAACGTATTCTACGGAAAACTAAATTGACCCAATTTTTGCTTTGTCAAAGCTAAAAAACTTTTGGATTTTTTTCTTATAAATATGTATTTTTTGATAGTAATCGACAGCATAATCATTATTGTTCATTACGTCAGCATACCTAAGAGACATTACATCAATAAAATGCTCAATTTGATCCTTGGGTGTTCTATTCCTTGCATCCTGAGCCTTTAGGAACCTTTGTATTTGTGGAACTCTTTTGATTTTGCTTTCTATGATACTCCAAATATTTTCTATCGATGTATGTTTAGAGGTTAATTTCATCCTCAGACACCCAGTCAAAGGGTATATTTTCTTCAGCAAGGAAACTGTATCGCTTTCCTATACATGTGTATAAGCAATCCAATGCATTATATTATAAATCTCGTAAATATATCGAACTCCATATATAGAAAACCAGTAAGGAAAGTAGTAAAGTAGTAAAGTCGGACGGGCCGACTATATGATACCCTTCACCACTATGAGTATATTAAACAGGACTATTATTATGAAATTGGATGAACTAAAATATGTGATATTTATCTAAATGTTAAACGACTTAAAACAATCCATAAGGATGTCATTCGTTTATTACAATGGGATTTTCACGAAACTCAGCACACATCATTCCAGACTCAATTCAGTACGCTATGCCAAATTTCGTGCAAATCTAAAAATATATAGGGATTTTGATGTACCTCCTACATTAAATCGGACGAAAATATATATGGGAGCTATATCTAAATCTGGACCGATTTTCACGAAACTTGGCAGACATCACTCCAGGTTGAATTTTGTATGCCATGCTAAATTTCGTGCAAATCGAATGATATATAGGGACTTTGGTGCACCATTTACATGAAATTGGGCGAAACTATATATGGGAGCTATATCTAAATCTGGACCGATTTACAGGAAACTTAGCAGACATCACTCTAGGCTCATTTCAGTACGTTATGCCAAATTTCATGCAAATCGAATGATATATAGGGACTGTGGTGCACCATTTACATGAAATCGGGCGAAACTATATATGGGAGCTATAAATAAATCTTGACCGATTTTCTCCAATTTCAATAGGGTTCATCCTTGGGCCAAATAAGTGAACTGTGCCAAATTTCATATAAATCGGATCATAAATGCGACCTGTACTTTGTTAAGAAAAATACATGGACGGACGGACGGACAGACATGCATATATCGACTCAGAAAGTGATTCTATGCATATTCTCAAAAGGAACCATGGGTCTATCTCGATTCCTTTTGCCCGTTACAAACATATGCTCAAAGACATAATACCCTGTACCACGGTGTGGTGAAGGGTATAAACACCCCATACCATTATTGACCCCACTCCATGATTCCAAGTACCCTTGCAATACTGAGGCTTGAGCCTTTAATTATTTGATCTTCTCACTTCTTCTTCTCATCCGAGAACATATTATTTCTTCCCTTAGTCGTATTCCAATGCACAGCTTCTGTGAAAGCAAATATGGCTTTCCGATTTTTTCAGAAATAGTATGGCTGTCTTGATCGTTTCCGATTTTATCTAAATAGTGTACCAAACACTTAACATTTGTCCGATTGAGACAAAATTTTTTAGGTCCAAGTTATGTATGCGCAGTTTCGTTGAAATCGGTTCAGATTTAAATATAGCACCAAAGAAGGGCACCCTTTGCGTTGAAATCGGTTCAATTTAGATATAGCTCCCATATATTTTTTCGTGCGATTTTATGTGAATGATGCACAAAGTTCCAATATTTCTCCGATTGAGACAAAATTTTGCCCAGCGTACTGAATTAGACTGATGTATGCGAAGTTTTGTTGAAATCGGTTCAGAATTAGATATAGCTCCCATGTATAGTTTCGTCCGATTTTATGTCAATGGTTGGAGTACCATTATGCTCCCAATATTTATTCGATTGAGATAAAATTTTGCATTTTGGCAAAGGGTATAAAATTGAGTTTAGAGTGATGTGTATTGAAGTTGCAAAAATCAAATGGTGTATGCAACGGTTGCTCCATTAGGTCCATATTTACATATAGGTCAATGACATCATATATATGGTCAATGGCATCATCGGACCATACCAGTGCGGCTTCAGACCTGGCAAATCCACCATTGAGATTTTCCCTCAAATTTTCAATCCTGGAAAAGACCCACAAAAACACATCGACAAATACCACCTATTTGTCGACTATAAAGCCGCATTCGACAGCCCTATCCGTTCAGAGGTGTTTAAAGCCGTTCGGCATTCCTGCAAAATTAATACGGCTATGCAGGATAACTTTAAGTGGCACAAGGTCAGAAGTTAAAGTAGGAAAGGACCTATCGGAGCCCTTCAATACCGAACGAGGATTCAGACAAGGTGACAGTTTGTCGTGTGATCTTTTTAACATCCTGCTGGAAAAGGTCATACGAGACGCAAAGGTAAACAGAAATGGCACTCTGTACACCAAACAACACCAGTTACTCGCCTTCGCCGATGACATCGATGTAATGGGTCGAACATTGCGAGCGGTGACAGCCACCTTTGAACAAATCGAAAAGGAGTCTGCCAAAGTGGATATGGCAGTAAACGGAGAGAAGACCAAGCTAATGGTATCACCGGCAAGACACACAGTAGACTCGGACCAACTGTGGAACTTGAGAACTACAGCTTCGAGGTAGTCAAAGACTTTATATACCTTGGTACCGCCATTAATAAAATGAATGACATCAGATTCGAAATTCGGAGAAGGATTGTTATGGCCAACAGATGCTACTATGGTCTAAGTAAGCAGTTTAGAAACAAGGCCACGTCCCGCCAGACCAAACTCACTCTTTACAAGACGTTGATACTACCCGTGCTATTATATGGACCTGAAGCATGGGTACTTGCGCAAGCAGATGAGGCAGCTCTTGGGCTGTTTGAGAGAAAATTTCTCCGAAAGATCTACGGGCCGATTTGCGTCGACGGTGAATATCGGCGTCGAATGAACCACGAGCTTTACAATTTATACGCGGACATCGACATAGTCAGTCGTATTGAGCTGCAGCGACTACTGTGGCTAGGCCATGTTGTGCGGCATATAAAAACGAGCCTACTGATGGTTCCCGTAGAAGGGGAAGGCCACGAATTAGATGGAAAGACCAAGTAGAAAACAACATCTTGGAACGTGGTCTTCCAAATTGCTGGATTTGCGCACAAGACCGACGCGCTTGGAAATCTTTTTTAAACTCGGCTTATGGAACAACCGTTCTGTAATAAACCAGCTAAGTAAGTAAGATTACTGTTGGAGTGTGGAATGGAGTTATGTACGTAGTTTTGGATGTTCGTACTTATGTGTGCAAAATCCGTACTAAATTTTGTACAATTTGAATTTTGGGTGAATCGATAGAAACATAATATAATATACTAGCATAGGCCCGCTACGTCGTTACCGACATTTTTTATACCCTTCATCACACTGTGGTATTATGCGTTTGTGCATATGTGTGTAACAGGCAAAAGGGATCGAGATAGACCCATGGTTCCTTTTGAGAATATGCATAGAATCACTTTCTGAGTCGATTTATGCATATCCGTCTGTCCGTCCGTCAATGTATTTTTGTGAGCAAAGTACAGGTCGCATTTATGATCCGAATTGGATGAATTTTGGCACAGCCCATTGGTTTGGCCCAAGGACGAACCCTATTGAAATTGGAGAAAAGCGGTTCAGATTTAGTATAGCTCCCATATGTATATTCGTCCGATTTTAGGTAAATTGTGCAAAGTCCCTAAAAATCATTCGATTTGCACGAATTTTAGCAACCGAAATACCGGGTAATTTCAAATAACACTTCTTGTTACGAGTACCCCTAAAAGGGAGATCACTGAAATTGAGATATTAATTCTGACATCTTATTTCACAATATAAATGAAATATTTACTAATTGCCACTTGTACAATTTATAAATACGCATCCCATTTAAAATATATGATACCCTAATCTCCCTACCCTATTTAATATACCCTGTGTTGGTAACAAAATTTTATTGTTCAATTTTTATGACAAGTATTCACCGGTAATACATATCAAGTGTTGATACTCTTGAATTTGAATTAAATTAGTTAATTATAGATTTGTTTGTTTATATTTGACTTTAGAGTTTTCACAATGAAATTTTATGTCAGTATTGCATATGACATTTTTGGTAATAATTTTTTATGGGATATTCCATGGAAATAATTCATACTATATCTCACACAGTGCAACTACAATTAGTTTACAATTAGTACATTAACTCGGATCTTTGATCGCTATTTTTTCCAGGTGGGTCCCATCATTTGATTTAATTTTCGCAAAAAAAAAATCGTTTGAAGGCCATTATCTGTCTGACGATTTCTGTCTCGGACTCAAACGCATGGATCGATGAAAGGCTTCTGTGACTATCGCATGCTTTAAATTTTTTTGCACCAATCGATACAAACATTTTTTGGAGCTGTTGTCAAATTAGATGTGTCTAACTCGCAGTGGCAGGGCCATAATGAATTATCAGTTCAGAAAAAATATAGTGTAGCCCTCGTATTGATCTTTTTCACACTGAACATTGTGTGTCATTAAATAACACTAACTGATAACGGAATACCCCATATACATCGTATGGGAGATAAGAAACGTTTGTGTCCACTACATGTCATTCAATAACAATTGACGATGATAATAAAAACAAGATAGGGAAATCAAATCTTCGTGTCAACTCTGCCCCCCCAGTAAACAGATGTGAGTAGTGTTTAAATAGCTCTATATATTCCGAGTGCAGATTTCAGTTCATACAAAGTGTTTAAGGTTGCCGGTCGTTTAATTTAGTGAAAGCTTTATTTCACATTCGCGTAATCGTAATTGCGTGCGGTCATGTGCGCTTTGTAATTTATTTACGTTGAAATAAAAGAAAAATTAATTTACTGAATGATTATGGATTCGTGGCTTGTGACTTTAAGTCTATTTGTTGGAGCTCTTGGAGCCTTTTATATATTTCTAATATGGAATTTAGGTAGTTGGAAGAAACGTGGTGTTCCGGAGGCTAAATCATATCCAGGAATTGGAACATTCCCATCGTTGTTTACCCAAAAACGCAACGTTGTCTACGATTATGATGAAGTTTACAGGTACAGTAGTGCGGTTTATAAGTTTTTTATTTTACTATACGAATTTAAGCTATTCGAATTTAAGCCACATAGCCCAATATGCCTGATGAGCCGCTTAACCAACGGCGAAACGCATCGAATAATGGTGGGTACGTAGGTTCTTCTCCTGGCTTTCCTTTTCATTGCAAAAACTTAGATCATCAAGCTCGACTCGAAAGAGTATAAATAACCATTTAAAAATATGCGGATTTTTAAATCAATTTTTCAACTCTGTTTTTTGCGAAGCCTCTCCATCCTCAACGTATTGGTGTTGTTTGTGGAAAAATCGAGTTAGATGGTATATATCTATAATCACGCAATATTCCAAAGGGATTGAGATGGAGTGGTGAAAATTAGCAGCGAGATGTCTTTTGTGTGCGTTGCGGACAGCTTCGAAGGTGGGCTATATCTGTCATCGATATATGCTTAACTCCCTTAACATGGAACAGCCAAAATTGTGAAATCGATTTGACTATAATTTGATATTTTGGTTTCTCACTTGGTTGAAAGTGTCCTAAAAAAAGGGTTCATATTGCATAAGATCACCCCCACAAAAATTCATCTGTATGTCATATTTGCCAACAGTTCCATTTGACCGTTCATCATCGTAACATACATTCGAATTTGTTGGTCAGATCATTTTCCCCATTTCCCAACATTTCCTCGCTGATGTCTGGGAAATGTTGTTGTTTTATATTTCCGCCCCTAGTATATTAATGGTAATACTAAACAATATCAGAATACGAAGACCACCTTAATTATTTACGTATAACTCCATTATCCGAGTACATACAGCCATATAATTGGTATCAATTTACGCTAAATCTTGGCCGATCTTTATAAAAACAGCCACGCTTATTCTTTGGTCTGATCCCAAAATTGGCGAAAATTAAGTATTTCATTTCCAAAAACAATAGGGGTTACCATAACCCATGTCCATAATTGTGGCCTACAAATTATAATAGACGGACGGACATACATGTCTATATCGACAAAGCTACTCGAGATACGACCGGTATACTTAAAGAGTGGTCTTCGGAGCGTTATAATCTCTTGGGGCTGCACAAAGCTTTAAAACCCTGACAACATAGCTATGTAGGGTTTAATAAGGAAGAACGATGCTAAGTTCGGCCCCGTCGAATTTTTCATACCCTTCACCATGAGGACGACAATTAAGATATCTAAAATTAAGGGGGGTTCTAGGAGAAAAATCATGCTATGATAATACCTTGAACATACCGAAAATACTTGAGAAAAAGATGAAATTCTCAAAATATTTTATAGTGGGGCTACCGTTATCTGGAGCTATAATAAAACGGAGACCAATCTTACAATTGTTTGGTGGTGAGATTTTACAGCAAATGAGAACACAAAATATCAAGTTACAGACATTTCGGTTGGAAAACGCATCCGAAATCTCTAGAATACTAAGTACTGGGGGTACTGGGGTTCATATGGAGGATACCCTGAAAATTGACCCAATATTAATAATTTGTGGTACGGAGATATGTTATACAATTAGTCCATTCCCGGCGAAGCGCTTTATTGAGGTGATCGGCACTTTGGTATTTTTTAGTGTCAACCTTGCATTCCAATATACCCCAGACACAATGAAGATACCCCAGACACGCGCTACCGAATAACCATTCTTGGATAGCGCGTGCTGAATGCGATGGTACGGAGTCCTGTTGGAATGTCCAAGGTTTGCGGCCAAGATGTTTGCGTGCCCAAGGCTTTAATATATCCTCCAGAATATTTTCGTGATAATATTTGGCATTTATTGTGATGCTACGGTCGATTAATACGAGCGGAGAGCAATCATCGGCTGTTATGGCGGTCCACATCGTCGCCATGGCCGCCGCTTGAGTTCTGGTGGCTAACCGAAGATGTACATTTTCATCTGACCTCTTTAGCAAGTAAATACGATCATTTTGTTTGTTTACAAACTGCTGGAAAGCGAATGTTTTCTCATCGGGGAAAACCAAATTCGGCAGTTCACTACACTCGGCCAAGCGAAGCAACTCTTTAGCTCTTTTGAGTCTATTTTCTTTCTGTTGCGGTGTAAGTTCTTGCACTTTTTGGAATTTCAATGGCTTTACCCCGAGCTAATTTTTCAGTATTTGCCGAATGCATTATTGCGATATGTTCAGCTCAGGAGTCATTTTTCGGCCACTGCAACGTGGGTTTCGTTCAGTCGCTTCTTTACTTTTCGAACCATTTCTGCTGATGTTGCTGTTTTCTTCCGTCCACTTCCTTGACGGGGGGGCTACGCTACCAGTATCACGGTAACTAGCGATGGTACGAGGCACAAAAGATTTATGCAAATTTAAATGATTGAGAGCTCTAAAGATAGACACTTTGGTTTTCTAGCCAAATATAAAGAAATCTTACTATGACGCTTGAATTCCATCACGAATAACTTTTTCTGGAAAATTCTCACCAAAATGCTTTTGTAAGATGGTAAACACTGGAATAATTTTAACAGCTGTCGGACGAGTGGCTTAGAAATGACAGCAGTCCGAAGTTGGTTGTAGTTTTTCATCTCACCCTGTATATAGGGCTTCCGATGAATTTAAGGTATTTTAATGTTCAATTCATATTGGGAACATATTTCCATAAAAACCATTTAAATTTTTTAACGTTGTCTATATTCGATAATTTCCATAAGTAAATTTAATGAAATTATTCTATTCATTTCATTAGACAATACCGCAGCACAAATAAATTCGTTGGTGTCTACAATGGCAGAGAACCACAGCTGTTTATATTGGATCCTGATCTTGTGCATCGAATTCATGTCAATGATTTTAAACATTTTCATGACAACGCCCTTAGCGATACGGTAAGTGTTATAAAGACTCTGAAATAATTTCAAATTAAATGAATTTTAATTTCCAATATAACAGATTGATGAAAAATCCGATGCAATTGTTGGCAACAATCCGTTCTTCTTAAGAGGGGAGGAATGGAAGGAAAGACGTAATGAATTGGTGCCAGGAATGTCACCAAATCGGGTAAATCACATTACTATTTGAAATTATCTGTAATTATACCCTACACAACTATGTTGTCAGGGTGTTATAGCTTTGTGCAGCCCCAAGAGTTTGTAACGCCGCGAAATATTGGTCCTAGACCCAAATTTAAGTATACCGATCGTCATATCTCGACTAGCTGACTCGATATAGACATGTGTGTCCGTCCGTCTGTTCATTATAATTTGTAAACACGATACAGGCCACAGTTATGGACCAATCGTTACGAAATTTTGCATGTAAGATGGGCTCTGACCAATGAAGTCCCATATTGTTTTTGGTAAAGATCGGTTATTATTTAGGGGATGAAATGGACCAAATACTTAATTTTTGTCAGTTTTTCTGGTCGCTCCAGAGGCTGCAATTATGGCCCGAACATCGCGAAATTTTACATGGAGAAAGGGATCGGGCCAAAGAATAAGCATGTCTGTTTTTATAAAGATCGGTCAATATTTAGCGTGTCAAATGGACTCTGACTTTTGTGTGAAAAATTACAAAATTTGAATTCTATGGCTTATATATTTACTCCTGAAGGATATAGAGCCGATAAGTTGATAGTATATCAAAGAGGAGTGGTTAACCTTTAAATTGATACCAAATATATTGTATGTATCTATTCGGATATGGGAGTTACACTTAAATATTTTCAGGTGCTTACGTATTTAGATATTATTTAGTAACCCATTACCATATTAGAGGGCGGAAATATTATGGTCAACGCCTATAATTTTCGGTGATGATCAGAATAACATTTTGGGATGAGTGGACCGAAAACTTAATTTCTTTCTGTGTGTTTTCTAGTCGAATATAAGCCGAACATCACAACTCAACCCACCGTGAAGGGAATCTGGGCAAGTAAGTAGACGGGCTGTACTGAATATTTGTAATATTCGGAATATGTAAGGACATCTTCCTTACATGTTCATGCTGTTGACTTCTAATCGCGCAAGTCGGGGTTAATATCACGAAATATTGCCAAGGCTCGGAATAAACATCCGAGTTCCGTGGTAGTTGTGTAGGGTATCGTATGGTCGGCCCCGTCCGACTATACTACTCCACTCACTGGTTTTAATTATTTATTCCAAATTTTCAGATAAAAAATGTCTATCCCGTAACACTGGAGATATGTAAACGTTTAACAGATTTCATAAGGCAACAGGCTGGAGAACAGAACAACAATGGTATTGGAGCCTATGAGGTAAATAGAGTTGTTGCAGAACATGTTGCAATCAGCTTTCCTAAAAATAAGTATCTAATAATTTCCAATTACATTTCTCCCATTAGCTATTTCTGCGTTACACCACAGAAGTGGTGAGTGATTGTGTCTTGGGAATTCATGTTGGAACTTTGAACAATGAACCGTCCAGTTTTCTTGACAGAATCAAAAATCTATTCCATTTAACACCATCGCAGATTATGTATCAAATCGCTATTGCGTTTATTCCCAGCCTCAAGAAGATACTAAAAACGAAATTCTTTATCACAACTAATGCTCAATATTTCTTGAATTTAATGTCCGATTCAATTGCACTGCGACAAAAAGAAGGCCATAGTCAGCGTGCAGATTTTTTGAATTTTTTACTACAATTAAAGGAGAAGAAAAATTATAATAACTTAATTTTAACGGCACATGCAATGACATTCTTGACGGATGGATTTTTGACCACATCGCAAAGTATCGCTCATTGTTTGTTGGGGGTAAGTGTAATGAAATTGAGGTTAGAGGTCGAATTTTTTGTAAATATTAATTTTTTTCTTCAGTTGGCTAGAAATCCCAGGGCTCAAGAGAAATTACGTGAGGAAATTCTGAGCAACATTAATGAGGAGGGTTTTGTAAGTTTTGAAAGTCTTTCGGAGATGCCATACTTGGATGCTTGCTTTAATGGTAGGTATTTACGGAAAATATTAAATACGAGGGGGGAAGGTTTATGTTATTAATAGTTATAATCTGAATGTAACATTCCTTATTATTAATCACCTAACTCCGTTCCTCACGTTTATAGAGGCCATTCGTCTATTCTCCCCATTATCCGCAAATACAAAACTGTGCACCCAACCATATGAATTCGTAAATTCCGATGGAACATCTTTCCAAATGAAAAAGGGTGAAATCGTTTTTATATCATATCGTAGCATACATCATGACGAGCGATATTATAAGAATCCCGAAGAATATATACCGGAGAGATTTTTACCCGAAAATGGTGGTGTCAAGAAATTTAGAGAGGAGGGCAAATATTTAGGTTTTGGTGATGGACCACGAATTTGCATGGGTAAGAAATTGTTTATAGAACTTAAAAAATAAATAAATATTTATGAATTATTATTTTTTAAAAATGTTTTTTTTTTTTTCTTAAAGGAATGCGTTTTGGTGCTACCCAAGCTAAGGCAGCTATTGTGGAAATTATAAGAAATTTCCATGTGAAAGTAAATTCAAAAACTAGCAATGACAATTTATTAGATAAACATGAAATTGTTGCCGTTTTGGATGGTGGCATTTGGTTGGATTTTACACCAATTAACTAATTTATTAAATAGTAAAAAAATTAAATAATTTATTCAATAATACACATTTTGACAACAATACTCTTTTATGTGCGGTAAAATTCTAAGTCGTCGGTTGGCAGGATAACTAAATATTTGCACTTAACACATGTTAGGCTATACTAACTTTAGAAAGTTGTGCAAAATTTGGTGTCCATCGAACAAACATGAAGAATTTGATGCATCATTCACCTAAAATCGGAGGAAAATATATATGGGAGCTATATCTAAATCTGAACCGATATATATATATATATATATATAAAATCGGAGGAAAATATATATTGGAGCTATATCTAAATCTGAACCAATTTCAATAAAACTTGGTACACGTTAGGCTATCCTAACTTCAGTATGTTGTGCAAAATTTTCTTGCAAATTGGACTAAATTTGACCCTTTGATGCACCATTTGATAAAAATTGGACGAAAATACATATGGGAGCTATATCTAAATCTGAAACGATTATCATCAGTTTCAATAGGGTTCATCCTTGGGGCAAATAAATTATATGTGCCAAGTTTCATCTCCTTTGGATAATAAATGCGGGCGGACATGCATAAATCGACTCAGAAAGTGATTTTATGCATATTCTCTAAAGGAACCATGGGTCTATGTCGTTTCCTTTTGCCTGTTACAAACATATGCACAAAGACATAATACCCTGTACCACAGTGTGGGAAAGGTTATAAAAAATCAAAATCGGATGAGCCGACTATATGGGGTTGGACTTCAATATACTGAAAACTAGTGGGCGGAGCAGTATAGTCAGACGGGGCAGACCATATGATACCCTACACAACTTCCACGAAAATGTAACTTTCTGTGGTTCTATATTCTGAGCTTGCGCAATATTTGCGATATTTGCACACTCTTGGCCGATTATAGGTCAAGCAATATTACTAATATGCAGTACAACCCTTCTAATTTCTTGGTCATATTCCTTTCACCGTTGGTTGTGTTGCGATGTTCGGCTTTCAATTGTGGCCTATAGATCGACTCGACATAAAGCAAAAAATTAAGTTCTCGGCCCAGTTCATCCCAAAATCGTTATCCGATCATCACCGAAAATATAGGCGTTGTCCTTGACCATACATGGATCCTCATAGAAAATTTCAAAGCGATCAAAGCTACATTTCCGTCCGTAATGGGTTACTAAGCACCCGTAAATATTTAAGTGTAACTCCCACATCTGAATATATACGACCATATAATTGGTATCAATTTAAAGGTGAACCACTCCTCTTGGATAAACGATCATCTTTTCGGGTCTATGTCCTTCGGAAGTTAATATATACGCCATAGAGTACAAATTTTGTAATTTTTCACACAAAAGTCAGGGTCCATTTGACCCGCTAAATATTGACTGATCTTTATCAAAACAGGCATGCTCATTCTTTGGCCATGTAAAATTTCACGATGTTCGGGCCATAATTGCGGCCTCTGGAGCGACCAGAAAAACCTAAAAAAAATAGTATTTGGTCCATTTCATCCCCTAAATATTAACCGATCTTTACCAACAATAGGGGTCTTCATTGACCAGAACCCATACTACATGCAAAATTTCGTGAAGATTGGTGCATAACTGTGGCATGTATCGTGTTTACAATTTATAATGGACAGACGGACACACATGTCCAGATCGACTCACTTAGTCGAGATATGACGATCGGTATAATTGAATGTGGGTCTAGGACCAATATTTCGCGGCGTTACAAACTCTTGGACCTGCACAAAGCTATAATACCCTGACAACGTAGTTGTGTAGGGTATAATTAAATCTGACTTTTACATAGAGACCATTTTAAAGCATTAATTTATATTGAATAATATCGGGAATGAAATTTGTCATTTATGGCCACTTGGGCCACAAACTTAGTAATACCGAAAATAGTGTGCAACCTATATATAGGGACCATGTCAAAACATGAACATAAATTGAGAATTGTTTGTGTATGTCAGCCTTCGAGAAGCCTTTATACCAAATTACAAAAATGGGTCGATAACATTATATGCCGTAATTATATAAGATTTGACACCGCATGAGAACTTTAAAAATCAAATTTGAGTGAATTTTTTAAATGGGGTTAGTATTATATGATGGCTACCCTGAAACTTGGGCCAAAAAATAAATAATTTTATCCTACACAACTATTTTGTCAGGGTATTATAGCTTTGTGCGGTCCCAAGAGTTTGTAAAGCCGCGAAATATTGGTCCTAACTTTAAGTATACCGATCGTTATATCTCGACTGGCTGAGTCGATCTAGATATATGTGTCCGTCCGTCTGTCCATTATATTTTGTAAACACGATACACAGTTATGGACCAATCTTCATGACATTTTGCATGTAGGATGGGTTCTGCCCAATGAAGATCCCTATTGTTATCGGTAAAGGTCGGTAAATATTTAGAGGATGAAATGGACCAAAAACTTAATTTTTGTCGTTTTTTCTGGTTGCTCCAGGGACCGCAATTAAGGCCCGAAAATCGCGAAATATTACATGCAGAAGGGATCGGGCCAAAGAATAAGCATGCCGGTTTTGATAAAGAGCGGTTTTGATAAAGAGCAATATGTAGCGGGTCAAATGGACCCTGACTTTTGTGTGAAAAATTACAAAATTTGTATTCTATGGCGTATATATTTACTACTGAAGGACATAGACCCGAGAAGTTGACAGTACACCTAAGAGGAGTGGTTGACCTTTAAATTTGATACAAACTATATTATCGTATGTACTCGGATGTGGGAGGTACACTTACGTATTTACAGGTGCTTATGTACTCAGATTTTATTTAGTAACCCATTATCACACTAGAGGACAGAAATATAGCGCTGATCGCTTTGAAATTTTCCAAAAGGTTCCTATTATAATATTGGGATGAAGTGGACCGAAAACTTAATTTTTTGTGCTTTTTCGAGTCTATCTATAGGTCACAATTATAAGCCGAACATCGAAACACAACAAGGGAATCTGGACAATTAATTAGAAGGGCTGTACGAATATTGGTAATATTCGGAAAAAATTTAAGTGTAAGGAAGAGGTGTTTTTGACCTCTAATCGGGAAAGAGGGTGTAAATATCACGAAATATTGCCCAGGCTCGGAGTAAACATTCGCAGAAAGTTAGAGTTCCGAGTGAGTTGTGTAGTATATCGCTCACTTGTTTTTGATAGGGAGGTTTTCTACTCATTGAGAACCCAAATTGTTAAATTACCGACGATTTGGTTAAAAACCACATTCCTAAAAATACTGAAATTCGGGATGGTTCGTTATATGGGGCCTACCATAAGAAGTGGGTCAATATTAATAATTTCAAGTGTGAAAATTTACTACGTACCAGTTTACTACTGGTTTACAATCAACATGAATTTATACTAATTTCAGTACGTGTTGCCAATCGGCATAGCTATGAGTCTTTAGTACACCATTTACTTAAAATCGGACGAAAGTATATATAAGAGCTATATGCAAATCTGAACCAATTTCAAGAAAACTTGACACACACAAGGTTATAGTAACGTCAGTACATTGTGCAAAATTGTGTGCTGGTCGGCCAATCTTTGGTTCATTAGTGCACAATTTACATTAAATCGGACGAAAATATATATTGGAGCTATATCTAAATCTGAACAGTTTTTCACGAAACTTAGCACACATCATTCTGGATCCAATTCAGTGCCCTATGCCAAATTTCGTGCAAATCGAAAGATATATAGGGACTTTGGAGACTCATTTACTTTAAATCGGACGAAAATATATATGGGAGCTATATATAAATCTGACCCAATTTTCACGAAACTTGGCACACATAATTATTGACCTAATTCAGTACTTTATGCCAAATTTCGTGCAAATCGAAAGCTATATAGGGACTTTGGTGCCCCATTTACATTAAATCGGACGAAAATATATACGGGAGCTATATCTAAATTTGGACCGATTTCCGCGAAACTTAGCATACATCACTCTAGACTTAATTCAGTACTCTGTGCCAAATTTCATGCAAATCGAAAGATATAGAGGGACTTTGGTGCCTCATTTACCTTAAATCGGACAAAAATATATACGGGAGCTATATCTAAATCTGACCCGAATTTCTCGAAACTTGGCACACATCATTCTGTCCTAATTCAGTACTCTACGCCAAATTTCATGCAAATCTAAAGATATAGAGGGATTTTGGTGCCCCATTTACCTTAAATCGGACAAAAATATATATGGGAGCTATATCTAAATCTGAACCGATTTTTCCCAATTTCAATAGGGTTCGTCCTTGGGCCAAATAAGTTACTTGTGCCAAATTTCATCCAAATCGGATTATAAATGCGACCTGTACTTTGTTTACAATTTAACATCAACAGACGGACGGACGGACATACATAAATCGACTCAGAAAGTGATTCTATGCAAAAGGTTTGTGATTTTATCAACGGATCTCAAAAGGAACCATGTGTCTATCCCGTTTCCTTTTGCCTGTTACACACATATGCACAAACACATAATACCCTGTACCACAGTGTGGTGAAGGGTATAAATATTGCGAGCTCTATCATAATTTTAACAGACGGGTGGATTTGGCTAAATCGACATAGAATTTTTATTTTGATCAGGAATATACATTTGTACTTTATCGGGTCTAAGGCCAATATTTGAGGTATTGCAAACGGAATAACAAATATTATATAATGGAGTGTACTCTACCTTATGTTGGCAGGTATCAAAATATATAAATAAACTTGGATCGGTTCAAAACAAACGAGTTATGTTCGTTCGACCTGGCCGGAATTTTCCTAACCTCCATCATGAGTTAGATATACAATGAAAAATTTCATATTGAACCAATGATTTTAATATAAAGATTAAATGAATGTGGTGATATGGACAGTTTTAATAAAAATCGATTGCACCCTTCGAGAGTTATTGGACGCACCAGCAATAAATTGCAATATCCGATGTGAAAAATGCCAAACAAAAATAAATAG